CTGTGCATGTGTGTCAAGGACAGAAAGGCAGACGTGGCAGTGGAAGGTGTCAAAGCAGTTTGGAGAGAAAAACAAAGTAAAAACAAAAAAAAAAAGAAAACGATTAATCGGTCATTAAATTAGTCATCAATTATTTTAATAATTGATTAGTCATCGACTAATCGTGGCAGCCCTAGTGCTGATAGAACGGCAATCCTTCATATTGGTCAGGCAGCCAGAAAATGAACAGCCACTAACACTGTTTTGTAGAAACACCAGGAGACCACCAAGCCAATCTGTAGAATCCAGCGATTAGAATCCAATATGTGCTAGTTGAACAAAGCAGAACAGAGGTCCCACCTTTGACATGTCCTCCCATGGAAGAAAAAACTTTGTTCCAAAAATTTATTAAGAGACCAGCTAACCAAATCCATAAAAATAAAAATATCCATAATTTCCGGTTTCGGACGAAAACGTAGAGAAGGCAAAGCAGGGAAGATAAGGAAGGGCAGGAGAGAAGGAAAAAGCGTCTTACTCCTCCGAGAGCGGAACAAAACAAAAAACAAAACAAAAAAAGTGTGTGTGTGTGTGTGTGTGTGTGTGTGTGTGTGTGTGTGTGTGTGTGTGTGTTCCCACATTGGAAGTGTCCACCATAAATGGCAGGTTAACCTTGTGAAACATTACTGTTCCCATTCACAGCATCAAGACGGAGGTGTTCCAAAATAAGAAGAGCTATCTTTTTATTTTGGACTAAGGCTTAAATGTGTAATTACTGTATTTATTCATGTACAATACTAGAAATTGAACTCTAAAAATCATCCATAAAGTGGGGGAGTAGTATTATACACAGGTTATTGATAATTAGATTTTTAATCCTTTTTAGCTCAAAAAATTATGATCGTATTTTACTTGATCGTATTATACAAGAATAAATACGGTATAAAGCACCTAAAGAATATATTTTGTAGTCTAATAACTATTTGAGAAGGCTTTATTAAAAGTGTTACAGTATTAAGTTTGCATTGAAAAAAGTGTGGCACGGTGGCTCAGYTGGTTGAGCTGTTGACTTTCAGAGAGAAGGTTGCTGGATCAAAGCCTGGCCAAAGACTTTTCTGGATAGAGTTTGCATGTTCTCTCCATGCTTGTGTGGGTTTTTTCCAGGTACTCCAGTTTTCTCAAAGACATGACTTTTAGGCTAATTGGTAACTCTAAATTTTTCCTAGGTGTCACTGAGAAAGTGAATAGTTTTGTCTCTATGTGGTACTGTGACGGACTTGCAACCTGTCCAGAGTGTACCCTGCCCCTCGCACTGTGACTGCTGGATATGGGCGGCAGTGGCCTCCATGATTATGGAAGGAAGAAGTGGGTAAAGAGGATGGCTGGATGGGAGCTGACAACTAAAACAAGCATAGAGACATAAAAAAATCCAAACATGCTGGTTTGACACAGAGCACTAAAGTTATCACATTCAGCACATTTACTGACTTTATTCATTACATTTGAACTTTGGCACCACTGTGTTGTGTTTACATCAATCAGAAGGTCAGAGTGGTCATAAAGGCCTCGTCACACTAACGTTTTAGACAGTTTATACCAGACTATTAAAATGCTGAAGATGGAATTAAAAAAATCTACTAGCCTCTTTTGGACCTATACTTATTGCAATGCTAACAATTAGATGGAATATATAGCTGATATGAGTAAATAAGTCAGTTTTCACAAGTYGGCATAGTTTGGCTGCTGGGTTTGAGTGGTGTTTTGGCTGATGGAGGAGCTGATAGCCTCTGGACATGGAGTGCAGATGCCACCTTTTCGACTAGCTGCTTTGTCGCTCAAACCGAAAATGGTGTACAGCAACTGGAAGTTTTAATACATTACCTAGTTTAGCCATCTCAACTCTGTGTTCTGCAGAGACCTCTACATGTTGTCTCATGCCACACTTTTTTAATGCTGTATACCAATCTGCACAGTCTGCTGTAACACTGAAYACAAGCTGCAAACAGTTAGCATGATTTAATATTCCAGTATTCAGATGGTTGCAATATCTGTGCTGTTAGATTCTTCACTTTGCACCTTTATTTTTACACCTTTATATAATCATATTTTAGAAATGTGGTATTTTTATCATAAAGACTAAGATGCTTTTTCAGTTTGTGTTGGTAAMGCATCTCATTGGTGTTATGTGAACATTACAAAATGGGATTATTCAACTTGTGAAATATGCTGCCACACTGAATGATCCATCCATGTGTGGTAAAGTAAGTTCTTTCAAGAGTTGTTACAGGCTGTTTAATTTCCCATGTGAGAACAACAATTTACAGCAGAAGAGAGAAACTCCCCTGGTGCTTTACTTCATAGCATGTCAAGAACTGAGGAAAAAGCAGGAAAGTGCTGCTGAAAGCAGTTTCTGGGATGCATTTCACTGGACCTGTCAATAAAACCACAGCTGCCAAAACAGCAGGCATAAAACATGAGGAAAAAGACATAAAAAGCTGCAACTTGCATAGGATTATACATTTTTACACAATAA